GCCCCACGACCGACAAAAAAAAAAAAAAAAAGAGTTTCACAGACTTTCCTGCCCAGGCTGGCTTCGAACCATGATCCTCAGATCTCAGCCTCCTGAGTAGGTAGGATTATAGGCATGAGCCACCTGTGCCCAGCTCCAAGTCAGTTTTGGACTGAGATCCTCCTATCTCCACTTCTCAGTTAGCCAGGTTATGGTCATATGGTATGATACCACATATTCCTTGGTTTTGAGATATGGCCTTTGTTAATGCTTTTGCTCAGGCTGGCTTCAAGCTGCAATCCTATCTCCACCTCCTACGGAGTGGGGATTATAGTTATGTACCGCAATGGCTAGAAGCCCTGGACCCCTTCTCTATGCCCTATGTAGACATATACAGGGTCCAGTCACCATCTTACCTGCATGGGCTGTTGATATCCCGAGGGAACAGTGACAGAGCTGTTCAGCCATCCAGGGCCCTGAGCCCCAACACGGTGCCACAGAGTAATGGGGGAACTACCTGCAGGACTCCCCAACAGCAGCTTAAGCATGGAACCTTTTCCAAGGCCATTCATGTGGTAGGCAAACTCCACACAGATGTCCCCTGGAGCACAGAAGGGTCGGCTCCCCAGCCGGACGGACTGCCCTGCCCGGGAGAACTTGTCTGCCTCAAAGTAAATGTAGTGTTCTCCTGGATAAAAGAGGGGAACCAGCAAGGTGAGACACCCTGAAACAAACATAGACATACAAAACTCACAACACACACACACACACACATGCAGGACATGCTGCTGTAGTCATGTCTGGCTTTTCTTTTCTTTTTTTCAATCCTGGGGCTTGAACTCAGGGCCTGGATGCTGTCCCTGAGCTTTTGTCCTCAAGACTGACACTCTACCACTTGAGCCATACCTTCACTTCCAGCATTCTGGTCATTACTTGGAAATAAGAGTCTCATGGATTTTCCTGTCCGTGCTGGCTTTGAACCATGATCCTCAGATCTCAGCCTCCTTAGTAGCTAAGATTACAGGCATGAGCCACTGGCACCCAGCTGATGTTTGACTTTCCAAGTAGACATGAAAAGCCCACATTATTACATTTTTCTTTGGTCATTTTGGACTTCTTACTAAAGAAGTCAGGAAAGACAGTAAAATATCAAATCTGCCACCTAGATTCCACAGTCAGAAATACCCAGAAATCATCAGTTGTGGCTGGTGGTTTTGTTTTTATTTTCATTTTTTAAATTGTTTGCAGCGCTAAGGACTGAACTCAGAGCCTTATGCATATTAGGGCAATGCTCTACCACAGAGCTAAGCCTACAGGGTTTGGGGGTTGTGTGTGTGTGTTTTGTTTTGTTTTGTTTTGCAATACTGAGGTTTAAACTCAGGGCTTTCTTGGCTGGTACTCTATCACTTGAATCATGGCTCCAGCCCTACATTTTTTATAGTTATTTTGGAGATGGAGTGTCATGGACTTTTCTGCCTAGGCTAACCTGAGCCTCTTGAGTAGCTAGGATTTTAAGTGTGAGCCACCAGCACCTGGTAAGACAGTCTTGTGAAGCTTTGGGCTTACTCAAATGGGAACTGTGCATTTTCTTGGGGGTCATAGTTATCCTACAGCCTAGAAGATCCTCAATTGAGCCTGCCCTCAGCTTGGGTCCTCAGCTCGGGCCCAGGCAAGGACCCCTATAAACATGGAGCTGAGCTTCCTCCAGCCATGGCCAGAGCCAGGCCTAGCTGAGAGCAAAGGCAGCGGCTCACTGGTTTGAGGCATCCTCACCTGGAACTGGCAGCTGATGCCTACAACACCAGCTACTCAGGAGCCTGAGATCTGAGGGTCATCACGGTTCGAAGCCAGCTCGAGCAGGAAAGTCCATGAGACTCTTCTCTCCAATGAGCTACCAAAAACCAGAAGTGGAGCTGTGGCTCCAGTGGTAGAGCACTAGCCTTGATCAAAGAAGCTCAAGGACAGTGCCCAGGCCCTGAGTTCAAGCCTCAGGACTGGTACAAAAAAGGTAAAGAAAAAGCTCCTTACCTTCATATGTGGAATCTTTGGAGCCTCCCACAATGGTGGGGAGGTTTTTGCTTCCCCAGGCCCAGTGTCCGCCATCACTGAATACATGGCTCCAGTCGCAGAACGGATGGGCACTGTCTTCAAAGTCACAGTGAGGGACGCTCTCTAGCAGGTCCAAGAGAGAGGGGTGTGAGGAACTTGAGCTATGCTTCCCATTTCCCCCACTCCCTTTCTGGGGAAGGGCCCAACTCCCACTCACCCCCACAGGGAGCAATGCTTATGGCATCCACGGCGACCGCCGGCTCTGGGATGATTCCAAAGACGCCCACCACGGTGAACTAGAGAGAAGTGAGGGGAGGGCTGGGTGGGTGGAAAGCCTGCCCCCTCCCATCCTCAACTTATGCGCACTTGGAGATGACCTGACCTTTACCCCTTACTCTGTAATTCTTCGATACCTGAATCTGTCCCTGCCCTGTGTAGTTGACAGACACGGGCTTCCAGGTGGGTCCTGGCTGTCCTGAGAAGATTGTGTGTTTCCGGATACTGCCTAGGATGGACAAAATACCAGACATGTGAGCCTCAGGGAGCTGAGAATTGAAGAATCAGTTGTCAAGGGAACCACTGACCAATATCTCTCAACTTCAAGCAATCTCTGTCTTTCCTACTCCTGGTGTATGCACACATGCGCTGGTACTGAGGGTTGAATTTAGGGCCTGGGTACTGTCTAAGCTTTTCTACTCAAGGTTAACACTCTATCACTGGAGCCACAACTCCACCTCCAGCTTTTTATTGGAGATATAGAGTGTTGAGGTCTTTCTGTCCAGGCTGGCTTTAACCTAAGATCCTCCAGATATCAGCCTCCTCCTGAATAGCTAGGATGACAGGCATTGAGCCAAGCCGCTAGCACCTGACCAAGGTACTTTACTTGCCCCGAATCCACTACCCTCCCTGGATCCACTTAATGGAAGGATCTCACATTCACCCCCCAGATTTCCCCAGACACTGAAAGACCCATCCCTTTGGAGATGCAGCCCAGGCACTACAAACAGAGGGGGAACCCTCTCTTCTAACCTAACAGGGAGGCATAGACGAGAAGAGCTGCGTCAAGAGAATGTCCCCACAGGATGTAATTGAAGGAAAGGGTCAGGCAGCCATCAGACTGACTCAGGGGGCTGAGGAGAACAGATTTCTGCCCAGGCTTTGCGTTTTTGGGGTCCAGGAGCATATAGAAGCCATCTGTGGAAGGAAAAAGCCAGTCAGGGTTGGTGGCTGCAAGTGAGGGGGGTTTCAGCCCCAACTGCTGCCTTGAGGCGGAGGGTCGAGGTAGGGCCTCACTTTGCCCCTGGCCGCAGCCTGCAGCCCACCCAAGGGCATGGGCGAGGATCTGGTGGGAGCCAAGGACAGAACCTTGTCCTCACAAGGTTGAGTCTTCAGGTTCCCTAAACATAGCTTCTTTCTTTTCTTCTTTGTGCCGGTCCTGGGGCTTGAATTCAGGGCCTGGGCACTCTCAGTTTTTTTGTTTTTCACTCAAGGCTCGTGCTCTACCACTTGAGCCACAGCTCCACTTACAGCTTCTTGGTGGCTAACTGGAGATAGAGTCTTACAGAGGGCTGGGAAGGTGGCTCAGTGGTAGAGCACCTGCCTTGCATGCTCAAGGCCCTGGGTTCGATTCCTCAGTACCACATAAGCAGAAAAAGCCGGAAGTGGCGCTGTGGCTCAAGTGGTAGAGTGCTAGCCTTGAGCTGAAGAGCTGAGGGACAGCGCCCAGGCCCAGAGTTCAGTACCCACAACCAAAAATAAAAGTCTCACAGACTTTCCTGGCTTCGAACCGTGATCCTCAGATCTCAGCCTCCTGAGTAGCTAGACGTGAGCACTGGCGCCAAGCTCGGCTTTTTTTTTTTTTTTTCCTTCGACTTACTGGACATTGTCCTAGTTACACAAATTCGTGAGGAGAAAGAGCCGCGCATCCCCGACGCCAACCAAACAGCCAATTAGATTGCACCTTGCTCAGTGACGCAATTAGTAACTAGGTGGGAAAGGAAGGAGGCTGCTGACTTGTCAGGAACGCGCACGCATGCGTGTGTCCGGGCGGACGCGTGCACGCACACACCCGCCGCCGTGCTGGCTGAGGCGTGTGGGTTTGACTGGGGATGCAGGGAATCTGTTAGGGAGGGAAATGGCGGGAGCGGGAGAGCCGGAAATGAAAAGGCAAGTGGAAGGAAAGGAAATGGGAAAATGGTGGCATTTCTCTTCCTCTTGTTTTCTCCCGAGGCGATTTATGAGAAATTAAAAAAAATAATCAGAAGGGACCGGGAAGGTGGCTCAGTGGTAGAGCGCTTGCCTTGCATGCCTGAGGCCCTGGGTTCGATTCCTCAGCACCACATAAGCAAAAAGAAAAAAGCCAGGAGTGGTGTTGTGGTTCAAGTGGTAGAGCACTAGCCTTGAGTGAAGAGCTGAGGGACAGTGCCCAGGCCCAGAGTTCAGGCCCCATGACCGACAAAAAAAAAAATAAAATATATTTTTTAAAGGAATCAGGCGTGCTTGCTGTAATCTCAGCACTGATTAGGCGGATTCGAGGCCAGCCTGGGCTACATTGAGGCCCTGGATTCTGTTATCAGCACCCCAAAAATTTAATTACTTAAATAAAATCAGGCAGATTACGTTGTAACTGTGACCCAAATCCTTGCTAGAGAATAAAAATGACAGTCCTGATGGTGGCATTCAAGCTCTGGGTCCAAGCCCTGTGAAGATACTGACATCACAGTCTTTGTTGAACCTGAAACCTCCCTCACCTTTGCACAGCTGGCCCCTCTTCCTGGAACATTCTGACCTATTCCCAATATTTTTTTTGTGCTTTATTCCATCAACTCTTTCAGGTTTGTGTGGCCTAAGGGGAAATCTACCCTGGCCGCTCTATTTTTTTTTTTTGGGGGGGGGTCCGGTCGTGGGGCCTGAACTCTGGGCCTGGGCGTTGTCCCTCAGCTCTTCAGCTCCAGGCTAGCACTCTACCACTTGAGCCACAGCACCACTTCCGGCTTTTTTCTTTTTGCTTATGTGGTGCTGAGGAATTGAACCCAGGGCCTCAGGCATGCAAGGCAAGCACTCTACCACTGAGCCAACGTCCCAGCCCAACACCTGGCATTTTACCACTTAAGCCACACCTCCAGCCCAGCGTCTTGGCTGGTTAATTGGAGACAAGTCTCAATTAGTTTACTCAATCTCAGTTTCCTCATCTCTAAACAAACTATTGCATGGATGGCACGCTACCACTTGAGCCACAGTCCCACTCCCAGCTTTTTGCTGGTTAACTAGTGATCAGGCGCTTATGGACTTTCCCATCTGGACTGGCTTCAAACCTCAATCCTCAGCCTCCTGAGCAGCTGGGATTACAGGCATGAACTACTATGTCCAGCTGGGTCACAACTCTGTTGAAGGAGGACTCCTCTTGATGCATGGCTACTTTCAGGGTCAGACCCTGGGTTCTGAGGCACCCCACAGGGGAAGTTTGCCAGGGATCAGAGAGAAAGTGACGGGGAGTGGGGGGACAAGGACTCACCCCGATTGCAGGTACCTCGATGGATGGACAGGGCGTCCAGAGAGATATCCAGGAAGGGGGTATTGCCCCTCATTCCCTCGAATATCAGCTGTAGGATGGGGGGGCGCACAGAGACCCCAAGCCTCGTGAGCCACTTGGCCTGGCTCCCTGACTCCCTCTTTTTTTCCCCCCTGTATTTTTCTGAGGAGCAATGCTGGGGTTTGAACTCAGGACTTTCCCCTTGCTACGCAAGTGCTCTGCTACTGGAGCCTCATCCCCCAGTTCTCCTCCTGCCCCTTTGTTCCTCGGATGGCCTGCCCCCTGCCAGGTCCCCTCCTTTTCCCAGCCCAGCACCCACCCCTACTCCCAGCCTCCCTGTGGGGCCCCTAAGTGTGCCCCAAAGTGTGCCCCAGGCCTCACCCGGCTTGGCAGGATCAGCTCAGCGGGCAGTGTGACAGTGGTGGGCATCCAGGAGGGGCTCTGGGTGTTCACGTGTTTCCAGAGCACCTTGGGGCGGTTGTCCTGTGTCCCCATGAGCAGGAGGAGTCTGAGCTGGGCACCCCAGGACAAGCCAAACATGTGGTAGGCGAAATACAGGCAGAGCGGGCCATGCTCCCAAATATCCGGGCTACGCAGGCGGGCCACTCCACCCGTCCGGAAGGTTCTAGAATCCATGTGCAGGTAGTAGCCCTCTGGAGGAGGCAGAGCCAAGGATGCTGAGGTCCTGCTGTCCCCAAGGGCTGTGCCCAAACGTCACCCCAGCCCACCCTGCTCTGAGCTGAGTGTCTGCTTCCGTCCTCCTCCTGCCCACTGCCTGCCATCTGCTCTCAGGAGTTCCCACAGGCCCCTCACCTCCAGTGGGGTACCCGCCAGGGGGCCCAGAGATGCCAGTCGGAGAGGGCCCGCTAGTTCGAATCCAGTCCCCGTCATCTGCAGACACTTGGGACCAGTCACAGAGGGGTTTGCTGTCATCTTCAAAATCACACTTAGTGATAATAGCTAGAGAGAAAGAGGGAAAAGAGAGGAGGAGGGAAGGAGAGAAGGAGGGAGGGAGAGGGAGAGAGAGCAGGAAGAAGGAAGGAAGGAAGGACGGAAAGAAAGAAAGGAAGGAAGGAAGGAAAGAAAGAGAAAGAAAGAAAGAAAGAGGAAAAAAGGAAGGAAGGAAGGAAAAAGGAAAGGAGGGAGGGAGGGAAGGAGGGGGAAAAAAAGAAAAGGAAAGGAGCCAGTGAGGCCTTAGGGCAGAGGGAAAGGGCAATGGGCAAAGGAGGGTATGGCCAGACCACAGAGCCACCCTGGGAAATGGGGTGAGGAGGGTCACTGAGTTTAGGCGGAGGCAACACTGCCGTTTGGGATGGGACCAGAGGTCTGGGAGACAGTACTTTAGGAAACACTCAGGGCTGGGAGGAGGGTGTTAGTTTATTTGAATGTAGAGCTTCCCTTCCTTCCTCCCTCCCTTCCTCCTCCTCCTCTTCTTACCTCCTGTCCTTCCTTCCTTTTTATGGGTACTGGGCTTTGAACTCAGGACCTTGTCCCTGCTACACAGGCCCTCTACAAATGAGCCATGCCTCTAGCTCTTTATTTGCACAGGTTGAGATGGGGTCTCACTTCCTGCTCAAACACAAGACTGGACTACACTGTCTAGTTAAGGCTCCCTGAGGCAGCTAAGATGGCAGGCATGTGCCAGAGCACCTAGCTTCCTTCCCTTGAGATGGATTCTCATGAATTTTTGTGCTTGGAACCAAGATCCTCCCAATCTGAACCTCCCAAGTAGCTAGGATTACAGGCCATCCATCAGTGACTGGCCTAAGTAGAGAAATCTCCTCTTCAGGGCTGGACTTGCCTTATGTCCCCACCACTCTGCTCTGAGCAAAAGTATTCCGTGGTCATATCACTACCGTGTCCTAAGGACACCTAAGATGGCCTCCCCTGGGCTGAGGATTGGCTTTCATTGCCAGATCATGGGTCCTAAGAAGGGAGAGGAGGCCCGACTTACAGTTGTCCACAGCGCGGCGAACAAACACCTCCCACTCCAGAGGGTTCTGTGTCCTTGGGGTTGGAGAAAGCAAAAATGCCGCCCTTGTCATTAAATCAAGAATTGTAAGACTCTAAGATAGTGTGTATTCTGAGACCTGATTTCTAGATGCTTCTTCCTCTCTCCCTACATTGACCTGTCTTCTTTAAGATTAAAAAAAAAAAAAGCTGGGCTCCAGTGGCTTATGCCTGCAATCGCAGCTACTCAGGAGGCTGAGATCTGAGGCTCACCATTCAAAGCCAACCTGGGCAGGCAAGTCCGAGAGATTCTAATCTCCAATGAGCCACCAGAAAACCAGAAGTGGCGCCATGACTTAAAGTGGTAGAGTGCTAGTCTTAAGCAAAAGAGCTTGGGGATAGTGCCCAGGCCCTAAGTTCAAGCCTCATGACTAATTTAAAAAAAAAAAAAAAAAGATTTCAAGGAAAGTCACCCACAGCTTCTTCAGCCAGTCTCCTAAAAAATGTTCCTCCTCCAGCCTCTCCCATTCTACATCTACGCAGCGGTTGTGTGCAGATGAACTGGGCAGAGGTCATGCCCCGTATGAGAACTCCCCCATAGCATCTCCATTCTCTCCCTGGGGGTCTCTCTGTGCAGGGGAGGGGGAAGGGAGGAAGAGTTTTTCACTATTACCCAAGTAGGGGCTGAATGGATCCCAGGTGCCCGGTGGGTGGTGAGATGGGGTTTCTTCACCTATACCCAACTCAACATAGAAGCCTGCCCACCTATCACCCTCAGAGACCTGTCCCCCCTCCCTAGGCATGTTGGGCCAAGAGAATGGCCTTTCATTTTCTTTTCTTCTTCTTCTCTTTTTGGTCGCTCGTGGGGCTTGAACTCTGGGATTGGGTGCTGTCCCTCAGCTCTTCAGCTCAAGGCTAGCACTCTACCGCTTGAGCCACAGTGCCACTTCCAGTTTTCTGGTGGTTAATTGGAGATAAGAGTCTCACGGACTTTCTTTCCTGGACTGGCTTTGAATGGTGATCCTCAGATCTCAGCCTCCTGAGTAGCCAGGATAACAGGCGTGAGCAACCAGTGCCAAGCTAAGGCCTTTCATTTTCTTCAAGTCCTTGGTCAAATCCTCCTCCCAAGCTCCAGGAACTAACTTTGTTGCTTGCTTTGGCACCTGGCGTGGGGCTTGCGCTCAGGGTCTTATGTTCTTGTTTTTGTTTTGTTTTTCACTCAAGGCTGGTGCTCTACCACTTGAGCCCCAGCTCCCCCTCCAGCTTTTTGCTGGTTTATGGGAGACAAGAGTCTCCCAGACTAGGACTAGGAAGGTGGCTCAGTGGTAGAGTGCTTGCCTCACATGCATGAAGCCTTGGGTTCGATTCCTCAGCACCACATACACAGAAAAAGCTGGAAGTGGTGCTGTGGCTCAAGTAGTAGAGCACCAGCCTTGAGCAATAGCAGCTCAGGGACAGCGCTCAGGCCCTGAGTTCAAGCTCCAGGACTGGCATAAAAAAAAAAAAAAAAGAGTCTCACAGACTTTCCTGCCCAGGCTGGCTTCAAAGCTTGATTCTCAGATCTCAGCCTCCTGAGTAGCCAGGATTATAGATGTGAGCCAGGGGCACCTAGTTTCCATCATTTCTTGCTGCTGCTACCCAAAATCTGTGCCTACTTTGGGTTTTTTTTTCTGTTTTCAGAGGGCCTCACTTCTCTGTCATCCATCATCATCTGGCTCCCCAACTCCCTACCTCCTATTTCTTCTTCTTCTTCTTCTTTTTTTTGGGGTCCGGTCATGGGGCCTGAACTCTGGGCCTGGGCGCTGTCCCTCAGCTCTTCAGCTCAAGGCTAGCGCTCTACCACTTGAGCCACTTCTGGCTTTTTTCTTTTTGCTTATGTGGTGCTGAGGAATCGAACCCAGGGCCTCATGCATGCAAGGCAAGCGCTCTACCACTGAGCCAACCTTCCCAGCCCTCCTATTTCTTCTTAATTACAACCCCCCCCTTATTTCTTCTTAATTCCAACTCCCACCAAATTTGTAATTTGTGGGTCAACCTATCTCCATCCCACTAGGCTGCCTACCTGCCACCCCAGCATGTTGTCTTTGTCTTTAGCCTGCCTGCTTTGTCCAGCCAACTGCCCCTGTTCCATCTCCCCGTCCCCAGCAAAGGTCCCTGCTTACCAGGACAGGACAGACATGTGAATCCAGGTGGCCCCCACTATTAGCACCAGAGTCCAAACTGCATACTCCATGAGGGGACCTCAGAGGTGACCCCTGGGTGCAGGGAGAGGGGACAGGACGGAATCTGGGCCTCTCTTCTATACCTCTGGGCCTTGGTCCTTGGCATCCTTTTGAAGAGGTCATGAAAAACAATCAGAAGAAAATTCAATTGAACATCTAATACATGAGTTCATGATTAAAAAATCAAGAGAAATATATTAAGAGTGAAGAAAGACTTGGAAGATCGACCCAGGAAATCTAATATCAAAAAGAAATAGTTCAGGGCCGGGAATATGGCTTAGTGGTTGAGTGCTTGCCTAGCATGCATGAAGCCCTGGGTTTAATTCCTCAGTACCACATAAACAGAAAAAGCCAAAAGTGGTGCTGTGGCTCAAGTGGTAGAGTGCTAGCCTTGAGCAAAAAAGCTCCAAGAGGGCTGGGAAGGTGGCTCAGTGGTAGAGCGCTTGCCTTGCATGCTCGAGGCCCTGGGTTCGATTCCTCAGCACCACATAAGCAGAAAAAATAAAAAATAAAAAAGCCAGAAGTGGCGCTGTGGCTCAAGTGGTAGAGCACTAGCCTTGAGCTGAAGAGCTGAGGGACAGTGCCCAGGCCCAGAGTTCAGGCCCCACGACCGGATCCAAAAAAAAAGCTCCAAGACAGTTCCCAGGTCCTCAGTTCAGGGCCCAGGACTGGCAAAAAAAAAAAAGGAAAGAAAGAGAAGGAAGGAAGGAAGGAGGAAGAAAGGAAGGAAGAAGGAAGGAAGAAAGAAAGAAAGGAAAAAAGAAAGAAAGAGTTCAAAAAGAGAGAAAGTAGGGAAATTTTAGAAAAGGAAAGACACACAGGTAAATACCCCAGATCTGAAATACTCAAGTCTGTAGAATAGAAAATACCCAATACAAAAAAATGGAAGATGTGTCATAAAATTTTCTGCTTTCAGGAGTGAAGAAAAACCTCCCAAACACTTTCTGATAGAGAGGAACAGGTCACATACTAAAGTTCAGTAGACGAGGTCACACAGTAAGGATCAGGGATCAGCAGATGAAGTGATGTAGTAAGGATCAGGGATCAGTAGTTCAGGTCACACAGAAAGGATCAAGGATCAGAAGACATCAGGGCTTTCCAGTAGCAACCATGGGTTCTAAAAGACATCGGAATATTGTGTGCAGAATTCCAACAGCAAATCATTTCAAACCTAAAAATTCTACAACTAGCAACAGTAGTAAAGACATGGAGGATGGAGTGAAGGGTGGACTGGAAATGACTGGCAAAGAACAGAAGACCAGAGAACCAGCAGCTCACACCTGTCATCCTAGCTTTAAGATGGCTGAGATCCGAGGATCTTGGTTTCAAGTCAGCTTTGGCAGAAAAGTCCATGAAACTCTTACCTCTAATAACCTCCCCCTCCCCCCCCCAAAGAAAAGCCTGAAGTGGATGGAGCTCAAGGGGTAGAGTACTAGCCTTGAGGACAAAGAGGCTCAGAGACAATGTCCAGGTCCTGAGTTCAAGCCCCACAACCACACACACAACACACAAAAAGTCTCTTTTCTGCCCCAGCTGGCTTTGAACTTCAATCCTCTGATCTTAGCCTCCTGAGTAGCTAGGATTACAGGTGTAATCACCAGCACCTGGCTCTCCTAACTTCTTAGGATAACATACAGGAGGTTCCTGTAAACAGACCCACCGCTCTGCCCTCTGTATGAGTAAGATATCCTTATCGGTGATACATAATACTTGGTAATAAATGTTTATGGAAGGGTTTATGCTTTTACTATATAATATTTTGTGTGTATGTGTGTGTGGTGTGCTTAAAATCAGGACTGTACCTGAATGCTGTATGTTTGAGGAGCTATTAAGAGGAAAAAACATATTTTTTGAGACAGAGTCTTGCCACGTTGTACAGGCTAGCCTTGAACCAGATCTTCCTGCCTCAGCCTAAGTGCTGGGATTACAGGGGTGCACCGTCACATCCAGCTGAACCACTGAAGAGTTGTAAGCAATCGAGTGACTTGATCACACCTTCATTTTAAGAATGAGCTCTGCAGCCAGGCACTGGTGGCTCAAGCCTGTAATCCTAGCTACTCAGGAGGCTGAGATCTGAGGATCATGGTTCAAAGCCAGCCCGGACAGGAAACTCCGTGAGACTCTTATCTCCAATAAACCACTAGAAAACCAGAAGTGGCGCTGTGGCTCAAGTGGCAGAGTGCTAGTCTTGAGCTGAAGAGCTGAGGGATAGCACCCAAGCCCAGAATTCAAGCCTCATGACAGACCAAAAAAAGAAAGAAAAGAAAATAGAATGAGCTCTGCAGCATGCTGGCTAGGTAGAGTATGAATCCCATAGCTGCTGGCCAGAGCTGGGATGCCCTGCACACAGACAACAACCATTCATGGAGCCATGAGTGAGTCAAAAATTTCCTGTAACAATTAGCATGGTGGCACATGCCTGTAATTCCAGCATTGCATAGGCTGAGGCCTGAAGAGCAATAGTCCAAGATGAGCCTCGGCTACATAGCAAGACCCTGCTTCCAAAACAAAGGAAGCATGGAAGAAGGAAAGGAGGAAGAGCCAGAGGGAGGGGGGGATTGAGAAAAGAGGAGGGAAAGGGAAACAAGGAAGGAAGGACAGGAAGAAAACCTCACCTCAACCAATAAGATGCAGCCTGAAATCCAATCTGTTACTGGATGCATGGCCCACAGCTTAGAAAAAAGTGATGATGGGGCCAGGTATTCTCCTAACTCTAACCCTAACCCTAATTATACCTGAACTAATAAGTAATACACATATTCTCAGTTGCATTCATCCTAACTATAATTGCCTTGTAATTTTCTTTTGTCCAAGACCAGGATTTGAACTCTTTTTTTTTTGGGGGGGGGATACCAGTCGTGGGGCCTGAACTCTGGGCCTGGTCCCTCAGCTCTTCAACTCAAGGCTAGCGCTCTACCACTTGAGCCACAGCACCACTTCCAGCTTTTTCTTTTTTTCTTTTTGCTTATGTGGTGCTGAGGAATCGAACCCAGCATGCAAGGCAAGCGCTCTACCACTGAGCCACCTTCCCAGCCCCTAGGATTTGAACTCTTGATCTGATGTTTTTGCTCATTGGCTGATGCTCTACCACCTGGAGCCACACCTCCAACCTAAAATCTGTTTTCATTTTACCCTAACTCTACTTAACCCTAGCCCTAATCTTAACTCTAATCCTAAAGCCTTTTTTTTTTCATTTTTTATGCAATTTTTTTGTTGCTGTTATTGGTCATAGGGCTTGAACTAAGGGCTTGACCACTTGTCCTTGGGCTTTTTTTTTTTTTTTTTTTGTCGGTCATGGGACCTGAACTCTGGGCCCGGGCACTGTCCCTGCACTCTTCAGCTCAAGGCTAGCGCTCTACCACTTGAGCCACAGCACCACTTCCAGCTTTTTCTGCTTATATGTCAGCTGAGAGATCGAACCCAGGACCTCATGCATGCAAGGCAATCACTCTACCACTGAGCCACCTTCCCAGCCTTTTTTTTTTTTTGTCGGTAGTGGGGCTCGAACTCTGGGCCTGAACGCTGTCCTTCAGCTCTTCAGCTCAAGGCTAGTGCTCTACCACTTGAGCTACAGTGCCACTTCCGGTTTTCTGGTGTTTTTTTTTGTTTTGTTTTTTATCGGAGTTAAGAGTTTCACAGACTTTTCTGCCCAGACTGGCTTTGAACTGCGATCTTCAGATCTCAGCCTCCTGAGTAGCTAGGATTATAGGTGTGAGACACCAGCACCCAGCATCTTTGAGCTCTTTTACTCAAGGCTGGTGCTCTACCACTTTGAGCCACAGCTCCACTTTCGGTTTTCTAGTTAGTTGGAGGTAAGAGTCTCACGGACTTTGCTGCCCGGGATAGTTTGAATCGTGATCTTCAGATCTCAGCATCCTTGAGTAGCGAGGATTACAGGAATGAGGCACCAGATCTCAGTGACCCTAACCCTTTCTATAACCCTAACCGGAAAACTAAATGGGCCCCCAACCCTCAATTTAACCCTAAATCTGCCCAAATCCTAAACGGAAACACAAATTCTATTTTCCATTCATCCTAACTTTTACGTGACAGGTGCCTCTAGAAGAAGACAGTCACCTACTTCACAGCTGGCTTCTAGGAGATTGGGAGGACTGCAGGGCAAGGCCAACCCAGGCAAAAGGTTCACAAAGACACCATCTCAACCAATAAACCAGGCATTGTGGTGCCCAGCTGTTGCCCCATCTAACTGAGAAAGCATAACAAGAAGGGTCATGATCCAGGCTGATCTAGGCAAAACAAACAAACACACACAAGATCCCCTTCTCAAAAATAACCAAAGACAATACGGCTGGGGGGGAGGGGCGGTGTGTGTGTGGCTCACGTGGTAGAGAACCTGCCTGGCAAAGTCAAGGCCATAAGATCAAACCAGTACTGCTCCCCCCCTACCCCCCAAACTGCAGTAGTGTTTTGTTTTTTTAAGTGTTTTAAACCCTTTCAGCCCCCCCACAAGGAGGGGGAAGCGCCAGGCTCTGAAGCACCCCCAGGATGCAGGGGTCCAATGGCCTCCTTAGAGCCCAGGGCAAAGGGGCAGGGGGAGGGGTGAACATAACAATGCAAAGCTCTCCACCAGCTCCCATGCCCTGTTCACAGAAGGCGCAGAGTCCATTGTGAATGAGGACAGACAGGGCCAGTGGCAGGAAATGGTTAAACCAAGGGAGACAGCAGGAAGTCACTAACCCACAGCCCCTCTGGATTGGGCAAGAGGCCTCGGATGCTGCTTTTGCTGACCTCCTTTGGCCCCACCAAGTCCAGCCGAGTGCCTGGAAGCTGGGGGTGGGGGCTCCAGGCAAGACAGGAAGATGGGAGGAGGGCCTGCCAAGTCCTGCATTTGAGGAATCAGAAATGGGCAAGGCTCCAAAGACTGCCAAATTTGATGAGCTGGGCAGCAGCAGGAAACACAACTCAAGAGACCCTGAGATGAAAAGGAACCCCAGAAATTGCCCCAGAGAGCAAAAGGCCAGTGCTGAGTTCCTGTGTGCCCTTGGAAATC